CAAAAAAGTCAGCGTTAAGCAATTTTGACTTAAAAACTTCCATGGGCCACTGTGCCAAAGCAGTGCCCAAGCCAAAGGATGTTTTGCTAAACCTGAGGGGGGGGGGGGGAGAAAAGAAAAAAAAAGGAAAAATGAGTATTCCCACTTTGGTATCTTGAATGAAGTCAGGATTAAAATCAAAATCTCAAAACACACACACACACACACAAAAGAATTTTCTGCATTTAATACGCCCATTCTACTGGTGAAAGCTCATCTACCAGAGAGTCATGGCTCATCATGAAATTAAACATGCTTATTTTAGAAATGAAATACAATTGAAAGAGATGGCGCCAATCATAATAAAAGGAAAAGGAGAAAAAATCTCATTATGAAATTTTTCAGGTAAGTATCTCAAACCCAGGGGTTGGTAGACATCCCCATATTCATAGTTTGCTGTTAAAAAAGCCCAAGTAACTTGAGTTACATGTCCTAAATGTGCCAGGAAACAATAACTTCTATCAGTACGATGATTTTTACTCAGTATCAATGGAGAAATTTAATTACCTGACTCTACCATTCAGGCTGGAAATCACTTACTGTCTCATCTATTTCCTGGGCAGTTCTAGGTAGTATTTCCAAGTTTTACACTTTGAAACACCCAAACAGGTCATCTTACCACGACAAATGGCAATGTCAGGTATTTCTTAGATCGAATATACCAATATATACGAATATAAGAATTCTTATATATTCTTATATATTCTTAATATTCTTATATTGCTCTTTTCTTTTAGGATTCTTCTCCAGTTAGTCTAAGAACAGCTTACTACCCCACCTTTCATCCTACTACATCCATGAAAAAAAATATCTAATTCTCACTTCACTGCATGGAAAAGCTGGACTGTTCTCTACATCCCACCGCACCATTCCACCCTTCTCCCCATTCCATTTCTAACACCACCAAGGTCTATTCCACAGCTTTCAGGGAGGAAATCTCTGTGCAACATGCCTCTATACAAGTGTCTGTCTCTCAGCTTAACAAAGTTTTTAATATTGTTCTCAGACAGTGTTATTAAAAAGCTTGAAAACTTCTATTGTCAAGTGCAAAAATACAGAAAGGAAAATAACTTTGTTAAAATACAGGACTTCCAAAGTTGAAGTTAAATGTGCAGCAAGGGCAGATCTGTAAAAAATGGGTTTAAAACTTAATAGTGTCTTGTTGACAGCACTCTTCCTCCTTCTTTAGTCTCTGGCTTTTTTCCAAATAAACAGGCATACCATTCCTGTAGGTGTTACAATTATTGTTGGTACAATTAGCTGAAATTAGCATGGCAAGAACAATCTGTTCTATTGCCATGATTATGGCTCTAAAAACTTGGTGTCAATGGATTATTTTTCAGCTATCAGCAGAAGTCTAATGGATTATCCCTCAACTTTATCTACTGAAGTAAATTTAACACTGATCTTTCGACTAAGATAAAGAAAGCAATCAAAAGAAGCACCAGGTAATAAATGCTTCTATCAAACTGTCACAAGGGAGAACTCATCTGCTCTGTATTTAAATTAGGAAAAGAATATGTATCTCAGAAACAGGCTTCTTTTACCAGTTTGGTAGCAGAGAGTGCAATTTATTTACAAAGAAATTGAAAGAGAAAGAATGCCAGAGTGAAATGCATGCATTAAACACTTTCTCTAAATTTGAATCTAATCCAAATTTAACTTTTATTCTCAAACATACAAGGCCAAACCAACCATTCACTCTAGTTACCTCCAAATATATAATAAAATCAAATTTCCACCTCAGCTGCTACCCTCCATCCTCCCCCTCAGAATCCAAAGAAATGTGTAACGAAGGCACACGACTCATTCCCACTGCTAGCACAACTGCTTAGCATGTATATATTAAATCATAGTCCTCTGCATTACCTCTTCTGTCAGATATGCTTTGGGTTTGCTAGGGTGGGTTTTTTTGCATATAAAACATGCCATAAATTCTTACTTAATCTACTACAGTATATCTATGATTTACCAATAATTCAAACAAAAAACTAACATAAGGGTGAATTTAAAGTGTAACTATTTTATTTCATTATTTTTCCTCTAAGTATAACAACCTCTGGATTTAGAAGCAGTTAGCTGAAGTATCACTCGAGTTCCACAGCCAAAACTAAAGGCATTATCTTTGGAGTCAATGAAGTCTGCAGCTGCTGGAATCTGGAATGGAATGCATCTTTTCATTAGGCTGGTGCCAAATTAGAAATGCCTGCTCATCCAAATGAACCATGAATGCAGCACTTTAGAAGTATCTGCTCTTCGCATGTAACTCAGCATGCTAGAGAATGTGACAAGCCTAGTAACACTGCATCTTTGGCACTTGTGGGAGAATGAAAAATGTCACTGCCAGTGTCCTTGACTGAGCCCTCGCACAGCTGCCCTGTCCTAGAGGTCCAAGAGCAAACTGAAATGCAGCCCCCATTTTCAGCTCCATGGTGCTGCTCAAAATAGAATATTTTATTATTAGAGGACTTGCACGGAGAGCAGATCACAACGCCCCAGATAACTAAAACCAGAGCTGGAAACCGCAGTAAGAACAGACTGGCTGTTACCCTGCTTAATTAAAGAGCACGGAAACATGACTTGCTGTACATCACGGCACAAACCAATCTCCCTCAGCTAACACAGTGATGCTTGCTTGCTGCCGTATCAGCCTAAGCCTCTATCTGCTCTTTTTCTCTCTTTCTCTGTGTTAGCCAAGAATCACAGGTTGTAGAAGGATTCAAAGTATCTAATTATGCTGCTTTCTCTGCCGCCCCCCCCCAAAAAAAAAAAAACCTTACTTCCCTGCTAGCATTTTATGCAAGAAGAGAAGGATTCAATGAGTCCAGGTACCTTTACACAGGAACAGGCAGAAATTGGCAGCAAACTTGTTGAAAAAATAATAGGATGGAAAAACGAAATTAATTATAGAATAGTTTGGGTTGGAAGGGACCTTAAAGATCATTTAGCTACAATGTTCCTGCCGTGGGCAGGGACATCTTCCACTAGACCAGGGTGCTAAAACCCCCATCCAACCTGGCCTTGAACACTGCCAGGGATGGGACATCCATGGGTTCTCTGAGCAACCTCTCCCAGTATCTCACCATACTCACAGTAAAGAATGTCCTCTTAATATCTAATCTACACCTGCCCTCTTCTCTGCCTCTCTCTCAGCCAATGTTCAACATATATTAACCATGAACATTTTGTAGTATTCAACTTCAAAAACTTCTAAGCACACTGATCTCAAAGACTTCTCTGGGGAGATGATTCCATAGGTTAAGTGCCCTAATGTAAAAGTCCTCCTGAAGTCCCAAATTACAAAAAAATCCCTTTAATTTTTATCATGTACATCTCACTGGATAAAACTTGGAGTACGTATGCTCTGGACTGTATCCACGTAGCTACAGTAAATTAAAAATAAAAGGGTTATTTAGCCCAAACTCACTTGCACGCAATTCTGATCATATTTTACTGATTATAAGTAGACTTATTATTAAGTATTAGTCACACAGTATGGTTAAATTTCTCTGACACTTGCACATATAAAATACTCTCATTAGCTGATGGAAGAAACTGTAGGGGCCAGAACATTCAAACTTCTATTATACAGAATCATGGTGTTTATTATCACAAGCAGTCCCACTGAATGTCACAATTCATAATATTAATTTAAAAAGAAAGTGCTGCATTAGTGAACATTACAGCCATTTTGACAATGTTCATTTGTAACAAGAAGTCATTGGAGAAAGCCTGGTCTTTGAACAACTAAGTCTTTAGCAATCTTTTGTTATTGCATATAAATCTGATAATTTATACTATGCAAATAATCTTTAAATTTGTTTGGTTGTTCTCAGAATTACTAAAAATCAATTGTACATGGTATACCACACCACTTAGGGGGAAAAATAAAGCAAAATAACGGCAAGAAACCTGCCAAGACATTCAGCAGACACCTAAAATAAAAGTTGAACAAATATTTACATAACTACGGTTGACAGAACTAAGGCAAGCACAGCCTTTTCTCAAGAAACAGCAGAAATCCAGCCTTGAGAGTTGTTTGTGTGTTTTATGTCACAGCCAGCTTCATACAGCAAAGGCTATGGATGCTAGTTTTCCCTAATATTTTAAATGTTTACTGCAGTGAGAAATTAAAGGAGAATTTGGTTTGGTCCCCCCTTTCATTTTATACACACATACATGCAGTGATAAATGAACTCATAGAATTACTAAGGTTGGGAAAGATCATTGAGTCCAACCTTTAACTGATGGCCACCTTGTCAACCAAACTAGAACACTAATCATCACATCCAGTCATTTTGTAAACACTTCCAACGGTGGTGACTCCATCACCTCCCTGGGCAGGCTGTTCAAATGCTTAATCACCACTTTCAGTGAAGAAATTCTTCCTGATGTCCAACCTAAACCTCCCCTGGTGCAGCTTGAGATATTTCACTTGTCCTGCCACCTGGTACTCAGAAGATGATGTTGACCCTCACCTTGCTACAACCTCCTTTCAGGCAGTTGTAGAGAGAGGTAAAGTTTCCCCTGAGCCTCCTTTTCTCCAGGCTACACAACTCAAGCTCCCTCAGCTGCTCCTTGTATGATTTACTCTCCAGACCCTTATCCAACTCTGTTGCCCTTCTCCAGACTTGCTCCAGCACCTCAGTGTCTTTCCTGTAGTGAGGGGCCCAGAACTGGACACAGGATTGAGATGTGGCCTCACCAGCGCTGAGTAAAGAGGGACAATTGCTTCCCCTAGTCCTGCTGCCCACACTGTTTTTGATACAAAAGCAGTTAAGCAATTAAGCAAAGAGTGAATCAAAATAAAAGGCCTGTGTTCTTCAAGGAAGGAAGGAAACCGTGGAAGGAAGCACACTAAGAGATGCCTGTGAAGTACCAAGTGAGCAGCCAGTGCTTGGCAAATGATTCTTAGTTTGGCAGACTGGTGACAGCTTACAGTAAACATTGCTACTTCTTACCTCCAAAAGAGAGCTTTCAATCGGTAAGTCAAAAGCACTTTCCAAAAAAGGTGCATCACTTCCACTTATCCAAAGGGAAAACTGAAAGTTGCCCACTACTATTTCTTAATGACAATAACATGCAAAAGTATTACTACGACTGACAAAATCTTACGCTAACTGGAACTAACAAAAATAATGGATATTGCCAAAAAAACGAGGCATGCAACAACTAAAGATGGAAGTGAAAGGATCTAAGAAAAATCTCAACAAATAAAGAGAACAAATCCTAATCACTGCAGACACTGAATTAGAAGTCAGTGCACCTGCAGTCTGCCATATCAGAGAGGAGGGCACTGTCACTGACAGGAGCTCCAGAGACAGTTTAGGAAATTAATATTTTTTCCATTTAGGAAGGAAGAATTTTGTAGAAGCACATACATACAGAAATACTGCTCTTGTTATTCCCATAGTGCCAAAATGAGCACTAAACCATGGGAAGCTGTCCCCACCATGCAGAAGGTGTCTCCCTCCTGTACCACAGTACAGAGGAATCTGTCTGGTGGGTCATAACCCATTTTGGCCATGGAGTGAAATCCAAAAATTACCCAGAAAGGCATGCACAAAAATTCTGTTCTTAATACAGACGCCTCAGAATGTGCCACAGGGTATCTACAGCACGAGTATAAAATAAGGAAAACTAATTACAAATGCAATTAATTAGTTTTAAATTCCACTCTTCATGACTCTTCAGCTTTTGCTAGTTAATTATCATAATGATAGTTACGATACTACATTATTATTGCCAATAAAAGCCCACATAGTGCTATTTAAATTTTAAGAGAATAAGAAACTGACTACTTGAGTTATGTATATATGGGATTTTAGCAGGTGACAAATCTTAGCTTTTTTATTGCTGCAAAACCAACCAGAATTCAAGAGATATTAGTTCGTTTTTACCCTTAGGCATAAAATTATTACAATAGACATCATTCCAATCAACTATGAGCTATAAAGACATTACAGAAAAGAAGTTACAGTCTATACAAATATATAATATCTCCACTAGGCATAAAGATTAGATCCACATGCAACTTTACTAAATGTTTCAAATGTTACATCACTAATTACATGATACTGTCACTGCTGGTAAACCACAGATGTAACATGAAAAATATTCAGCTGGGTCTCATGTAGATCTTATCTCAATGTGCAGGTTCCAAAAAAAACTGAACCAACCCTTTTGATCTCTGCACTGTATTAGCTGTTAGCTTAAGAGCGAGCTTGCTGAGCTGAGGAATTTTTGCAAGAGTTGCTTCAAATCTCCACATGATAGAGGCAAGAGGTTGCACTTAAAATACGAAAAGTTAACTTTCATTTAAATCACATATTGTAGCATTTATGTAAATCACTAAGGTTAGCTTATGTTTTTGATATTCAATACCATGTCCCTTAGAGAAGTCCTTGTCTCTCTCATTCCTCTGCATTTTCCGTAAACAAAAGCAAAGCTCGGTTCAACATCTTGCTGTCATAAAACTAGCTTGAAATGAAAGTTTCTCCAAAGGTTTCCAAATTCAACAGCCAAAAAAGTACAACATCAAAACACTGTATTGGAAAACCCTGCAGGTACAGGTGATACTGAATTAGTTGTACCTCCTTTAAATAACAAAGGTCAAAACTTCACCCAGTTTGTATTTCATTCTTCTGTGTGCCAGTGCCATTGGCCTCCGAAGTTTCATTAGAAGTGAACATGAATGAGGTTTCAACAGACAACAAGGTTTCACCAGGACACAGCAGGTCCCAAAGGAGGCACTAATCAAGCACACGGAGCCTGGCTGCTGAGTGGGGAAAGGGACAGATGGAGAAATAAAAAATGTGACAAAAAAGGGTATAGAAAAGGAAGACAACATCGAGCAGAAGGGGAAAAAGGCCAAATGAGCAGAGCCAGGATAAAGAAATGGAATGGGGAAACAAACATCAAATTGAATGAATGCACAGGAGGACAAACCAAAATTCTCAAGCTTTATGCCCAGTGATTAAGTAGCCCATTTCTAGCAACTACAAAGCCTCTACTCGTTGTAGAACAGCCTTTCTGAGGTTAGTTTACACAGACAGTACTTTGTACCAAAATTTTATTACTCCTTCAGGTACAGTGTATTTCCTACACAGGCCCCTTGGCAGATGAGGGCTACCAGCAATGCGAGGAGAGCTGCTTGCAATCTCTGCCTGTCCTAGCACATGGCTTCCTACCTGTTGACACGAGCTCTCCAGGGAGCCTGACCTCTTTTGCTTGGTGGACATAAACAGACCTGAAGTAAGTACAGAAAAGCAAGAAAGCAAGCTTGCTTCTGGCAGAAAGCAGAAGCTTGCTTCTGGCAGTCATATAATGTCATCATCCCACAGCAATGAGCAAGATCCAGAAAGGTGTTTTTCTTTCTCACTGCTATCTTCTTCCATCTTACTAATTTTATTTTAATATACAGTGGACTGCTACACAAATGTTCACAAATCTCTACAGCAGCTGCAGTCATCATGACAGGACAGCCCCTGAGACAGGACACCACACCCTGCAGATCACTAATTTGGGTCTAATATGGTGACACAGTAGCTTCATCCTGGAACCTGGTGAACCTGAACCTTCCTGAATGAAGGGTGACCCTGGCTTTCTCACATCTAATACCTACAGAGAGGAAATTCTCTCTCCATCACAGCCAGCAGACATTTCCCCATGAGTTCAACAGTGCCAGAGTGGTGTAATCAGGCTTTCATCTCCTTGGCCACTAACTATAAACACGAACAGGGGAAGAACAATAAAAAGAACTCATAAAACAGGGTGCTACTACTTTCTTCTATCCTGGAGAATAAAGCAAACAAAATTAAACAGTTACTCTATTTGGGGTCTTCAACCCTTCTGTAAAACCAAGCAAAGAGGAATAGTGCCAAGGTGCTGGCCAGGCAGTTCAGAAATTCTCCTGAGAACAGTAATCTGTAGAAGTAAAAAGCATAGGCAGATCTGCAAGGCCAAGTTGATTTTTGCCAGGGGTTTAATAACTGTGCTATGTCTCCTGCAGCAATGAGAGGAATAAATACAAGAAAAGAATAATCTCTAAAAAGCTGAGCAATAAAAAGCTGCAAAACAGTAGGCAAAGAAGCAAAGAAATCAGATTAAAAAAAAAAGATTTACGTAGTTTCCTCTCTTTCTCTTTTCCAGAAATATACATCAATCAGGGATCCTGTCTCTTGTTGGGACCTTGATGAAGATGAGGTGAAATCAAATATGTTTAATGATGTTGGAAATGAGGCATGAAATTGAACCATTGTTTGATTCCGTGTTGCCTTTGCTTTCATAAGCAAGGCAGTTCTTTAAGCCTGGGTGGTACACCAGCATTTACTGCCGAAGGGAAATATATTTTGCTTCCAGATATATTTCTTTTCCTTTTCATAGTTTAAACTGACCAACTTCTTTATACATATCATGCAAACTGGTTGTAGAGATGAAAAAAATCCCATAATATTAAGGATAACTAGCTAAGAAACATCACCTTTTCATAACTTGATAGTAAAATTGGAGAAAGGAAAAATGTCAACAAGTAAAGGTCAGCCAGGAAAAAACTCACCAGGAAAAATTCTAAATGCACGGAAAAATTTTGAAATTAAATTTTTAAAAAATGAGCTTTGATGCCTCTAAAATAATACTCTGAAATTGGGGGACTGTCGCTCAAACTGCTAAGTTTATATCCCATTTGCTTGACTTTTAAAGATACTGATATGCTTAGCCTGGAGCTACTCCACAGTCATTTGTTATTAGTTCACGTTAACATCAAGACAGGATTAATGGTAATATGATGGGACTAAGGAAGGGAATCTGATATGGCTCTGGATTTGGAATATTTTGCACTCAAAAAGAAAGCAATGACTGCCATTTTAAAAAGAGGTGAGGAAGGTGAGGACAGAGCAAGATGGGATCGGAGTAGACTTTAGCTTTCTGCTGCAGTGGCTGGAGTTAAGCCTGCAATTCTGTGAGGGGACAGTAAGCCTTATATAAGAAGAATGTAGACATTTAAAAGGAGCAAAAAACATTCATTTAAACCCTTTTGTTCCCATAAGAAATGCTAATCCCACCACATGTTACCAGCAGTAAAGCTCATCTTGATTCTTACTTCCAGCTGAACCTTTTGGGGAAGCACAGGTGATACACAGGTACAGTGTCGCTGATTCGACAAAGTATACACCAGGGGGAAGGACCACCTGGATTTTTAGGATTTCAGCAACCTCATCACAGGATTCCCCCATGACTCAAGGGTTATGCAAGTGTCAGTCTGGTTCATGCTCCTCAAATTCCTGTTGGAAGGCAGCTCCAGAACCTCACTTCCTTGTAGTAAGACTTTTTCCCTCTTTCCAGCCTCAACTAATTCATGGCTAGCTGACATCCATTTGTGGTGTTGCTAGCAGGTCGCTCTGCAAGCCTCTTCACTTTTGGTTGGTTTTGACAGCTATTATTAACAGAACATGGCTACTGGTTGATTTTCTCTACATATTCTCTAGGTTTGAGTCCTAACACCAACAGGCACACCTCTCCTTTTACTGGCTAAAGAACATGCAAGAGGAGTGTACAGTTCAGTTCACTCGATAAACCACAGGGTACTGATTACTGCCCTGTTAGAAAAACAGCCCCCAAAAATAAATGTGGTAGAGTTTTGGGTAAAAATAGCAGCAGCAGCAAAGTCAACTGTTTGAGAATGTTTCAAACCCGCTTTATACCCCTGTTTAGCCACAGAGTACACACATCAGGGATAAGCATCAGATATGCAAGAAATGAATGTTATGTTCATGCTGACTTTTTTTTAACGTACATACTTACATTAAGTGAGTACATATGGCTGTACACACACATATATTTTTATGTGGATTTGTCCTGTTAGAAATCCTGCATATTCATGCATGCAAATGCAGCAAATTTTCCCATGGATCACAGCAGTTAAATTTGTAGAACTCAAGTACTGCATGTTTGCTTGCATATGAAAGAAAAACAGAGAAACACAGCAGGAATTGGCATCTT